AAACTGACTTGACAGCACATAAGTACAACTTGGGCTGCCAGTTGTTGTTGTTGTTAAGTGCCATCGAGTCAGTTCCAACCCATAGCGACCCTGAACAGGGTTTCCGAGGCTGTAAATCTTTACGGGAACAGAAAGCCTCATCTTTCTCCCGCGGAACAGCTGGTAGTTTCAAACTACTGACCTTGCAGTTCGCATAGTGGTTATGAATTGGGCTGCGAACCTTAAGGTCAGCAGTTCAAAACTACCAGCTGTTCCATGGGAGAAAGATGAGGCTTTCTGCTTCCGTCAAGATTTACAGCCTCAAAAACCCTGTACAGGGTCGCTGTGGGTCAGAACCAACTCAACAGTACTACAACAACGATGGAGTCCTGGTGTGGTGCTGTGAGCTAATGTTTCAGACTGCAAAGTCATTTGAATTGCACGGTTGCTGGTTCAAGTTCATCAGCTGCTCCTTGGAAACCCTATACAGGGTTGCTATGGATCAGAATTGACTCGATGGCACTTGACAACAACCACTACAACTACATTACAAATCCTGGAGTGGTGCTGTGGGTTAATGCGCCAGACTGCAAAGTCATTTGAACTGCAAGGTTAGGGGTTCAAGCTCACCAGCCACTCCTTGGAAATCCATCCAGGGTCACTATGGGTCAAAACCGATTCAATAGCACTTAACAACAACAACTACTACTACTACACTGCTACATTACTTATGGCGGGAACCCAGAGTCAGAAAACCCTGGCTACTTGAAAACAGACCATTAAAAACATGCCTTTCCCCACCTCTAGTGAATAACCCCACAGGGCACAAATAATTCTTTGCCTACTCTAAGCCTTAAAGATTGTACATGAATAAGCCTGTGGAACCAACAATTCTGATGGTTTCAAAGAAAACAATAGGGAAGTCTCAAGTCTCAAGTTAAAGTTGTTTGTTACTACCACAGTACAATCCACCACCTAAACCCATTTGCTCATTCCTACAACAAATCGACTCTGACTTTCAGCTAGGACAGAAAATCAAAAGCAAAACCTTTGCATGAAGTAGATTTCAACTCATGCTGACCTCATTTATGACAAAGTAGAACTACCCCCATAGGGTTTTCTCAGATAAAATCTTTACAGAAGTACAAGGGTAAGCAAAAAGTATTGCTACTAGGATTCCAGTTCATTCATGCACAGGTTTATTCCAGACAAATGTGTTTCAACATGTCTCTGTGATCAGTGAATAGCGGCAGACACGTTCCCTCAATAACACACTTGCCTTAGTCTCATTTTTGTTGTTGTTATTCTGCGCCATCAAGTTGGTTCCGACTCATAGAGACTCTGGCTAGAGTTTGCAAGGAGTAGTTTGTGAGTTTGAACCACCAACCTTGTGGTTTTGTGGTTTAAACCGATCTTGTGGTCCAGTGCTCTGTCCTATAGCAACACACCATTAGGGTACTTTCAAAAAAAAAAAAAAACCATCCAGTTCAAACAGTGACTTTGAAAAAATCTACTGAGACAGCTAAATTCAAGGCAGAGAGGTCAGCTCAGAAGGTTATGACAACTGTTTGGGGGGACTCCGAAGGGGTAATCTTGGTAGGTTTTCTCAAAGGGCACAGGATGATCATGGGGTCATATTAGGAAAAGGTTTTAAGAAAAAGGAAAACTACAATAGTGAGGAAAAAAGTCAGGAAATCTGAGCTGAAGAATTCTTTTCCATCAGAACAACATACCTGCTCATTCTTTGAAGGGATCAATGATATTTCTACAGAAATTTCACTCGGACACCTTATTCCATCCACTCATACAGCCCTCATCTTGTCCCTTCAAATTTCTTTTTGTTGCCAAAACTCAAAGAACACTATTTGAGTTCCTCAAGGATGCCAAAGCTGCCATTTTATCCTGGTGGAAACAGAAGAGCAGAAAGTTCTTCTGTAAAGGGTTAGAGAGATGGAAACTCTGCCTTCAAAAGTGCATGATCTACATAGAGGGTTGGTCAAGAAACAATGGCTTCTTGTGCCCTCCGAGACGACTGTGATGGGAAGTTTTCCGTATCTCACATTAGATCATTCTCTCTTCTTTACCTTTGATGTTGCTGAGTTGCTCCGACTCATAGCCACCCTGTATAGGGTTTCTGAAGAGCAACTGGGTTTGAACCACAGACCCTGCAGTTAACTGTCAAGTGCTTACTCCATAGCACCACACAGGACATAAAACAAAATTGTTGCTGTCCTATGTCGACTCATTTTGTTGTTATTGTTAGGTGCCATGTAGTTGGTACCAATTCACAGCGATTTTACGTACAACAGAATGAAACACTACCTAGTCCTGTGCCAACCTCACAATCATTGCTCTGATTGAACCCATTGCTATTGCCACTGTGCCAATTCATTTTGTTAGGGGTCTTTCTGTCTTTCGCTGACACTCCACTTTACCAAGCATGATGTCCTTCTCCAGGGACTGGCCCCTCTGATAATATGTCCAAAGTAGGAGAGATAAAGTCTCACCATCCTGGCTTCCAGGGAGCATCCTGACTGTACTTCTTCCAACACAAATCAGTTTGTTGTTCTGGCAGGTCTTGGTACTTTCAATATTCTTCCTCAACACCACAACTCAACTGTATTAATTCTACAATCTACTTTTAAATGCATATGAGGTTGTTAAATACCATAGGTCAGGTGCACCTTAGTCCTCAAACGTGTACATAGACCAAAAGCCAATTGTTCAAACAGAACAAAGGAACACTGAATAGTTTAAAATTAGGAAAGGTGTGCCTCCAAGGTTGTATTCTTTCATCATATTTATTCAATCTGTATGCTGAACAAATAATTTGAAAAGCTGGATTATATGAAGAAGAACATGGCATCAGGATTGGAGAAAGACATTAACAACCTTGCTTGCTGAAAGCCAAGAGGACCTAAAAATACTTATGGATGAAGATCAAAGACCACATTTCTCAGTGTAAAGAAAACAAAAATCCTCACCACTGGGCCAGTAAATCACATCCAGATAAATAGAGAAAAGATTGAAGCTGTCAAAAACTTCATTTTGCTTCTCTCAACCAACAACACTCACGGAAGCAGCAGTCGAAAAAATAAGACAAAGTATTGCACTGGGTAAATCTGCTGCACAAGATTTCTTTAAAGTGTTGAAGAGCAAAGATGTCAGTTTAAGAACTAAGGTGCACCTGACCCAAGCCATGTCCACTCATAGTGCCCCATAGGGTTTCCAAAGCTGCCAGCTAGACCCCATGTCCACTCATAGTGCCCCCATAGGGTTTCCAAAGCTGCCAGCTAGACCCCACCAGCTGCTCCACTGGAGAAAGATTTGGTTTTCTGCCCTTGCAAAGATTTGTTGTTGCTGTTGTTATGTGCCGTGGAGTCGGTTCCAACTCATAGCGACCCTGTAACAGGGTTTCCGAGGCTGTAAATCTTTACAGGAGCAGACCGCCTCATCTTTTTCCCGCGGAACCGCTGGTAGTTTCGAACTGCTGACCTTGTGGCTCACAACCCGATTCGTAACCACTACGCTACCAGAGCTCACTATGCCTTGGAACCAATTCTACAGTAATCTTAAGAAAAGAAAAAAAAAATGGCTTCATATTTTAATATTTTTGTTTAATAAACGTTTCAATGATTTTGTAGCAATACTGTTTTTTTCTTACCCTCCCCCAAACCCGTGATGGGTTCCTAAACCAACCTTTACTGAGTACTCAGGGAGGGCACAAAACAAAACAGACCAGCCTCCACGGAGCTTCTGTGCTGTGGGTTGGGTAGCTGGTTACCAAACAAAAAAGTAAAAGCAGTCATTTCATAGTGTCTTAAGGGTTGTGTAGGAACTAGCCCTGTGGCCCCCCGGGTAACTTCACGGCTGGAGCTTCTCTTGAGTTCTCAGCCCCCTCACCAGGAACCTAGCCTAATCAGGGCAGTTAGGGTTAGGTTAATGAGTTAAGGTATGCTGGCTCTCCCCACCCACCCCCAAAGGCCAGAGCTCTCTAAGCATTCACTGTAGTTTTCTGTTCCCATCAGTCTTGAAACTGAAGTGCTGGTGGAGGTATGGCATTGGGGGTGTGGGAGGGGCTCTCTTCAAGCTACCCAAAAGTAAACTAAAACGCCTGGCCTGATACTCCTGGGAAAGGCCTCAACAGCTGAGTTCTGGTTCCCCAAAACAAAGAGCCGGGTGTGAACACGGAGAGGAATTAGGAATCTCTGGCCTGCTCCTTGGCGGTGCGGAAGCCAGCGCTGCTGGGACAGGGGGCTGTCCTGCTCTCCATCCCACCTCGTGAGGCCAGACGCCACTCTGACCTCTTCCTTCCCTTCGACACTGGGCAAAGCAGGTCGGGCGTCGGGCTCGCTAATGACAGATGAGGGCGTGCGAGCGGGTTTGGGTAGAGAAAGCCCGGAGGGGGATGTTTCTGGACGCGACTGTGGCCAGCCCCGCTCATGGACACCCCCCGAGGGTTGATCTGACTTCGTGGTTGGAAGATGACAGCTCGGGGATAGGAGGGGAGCTGTCCCTCCTCCCCACGCCCGCCCCAGCCATCCAGACGCCGCTGCGGCCTCCTCTGCCTAATCGGCAGCCTCCCTCCAGCCGGGGTTCGGGGGTCAGGCAACTGCGCCCCGGGGCAGGAGGGCGCGCGGAGGTGCCAGGGGCGCGGGGCGCTGGGAGCCCAGCTGGCAGCGCGGTTTCAACTTTCCACTGCGCGAGGTTGTGCAACCGTGAGAAGCGGGAGCCGGGGGCGGCGGGGAAAACAAGCCCATAAACAAAGCCACGTGGCCCGGGGCCGGGGGGCCGGGCCAAGAGCGGCGGCTCTTCCGGCAACAAAGAGCCGGGCCGTGGGTGCCCTATAAATAGCGCGGCCCCGATTGCCGCGCAGCATTCTAGCCAGCTGACTGCCGGGAGACCCTCCGCCACTCCCGGGCACTTTGCGAGTGCACAGTACTCGGCTCCGCACCCCCAAACCCAGCCCCCCGCGTCAGTTCCCTGCACGCACTCCCTAGCCGGTCCCCAGCCTTCCGAGCTCTCGCCCGGCTAGCGCGTCTCCAAGGCCTCCCGGTCGGTCCTATCCAGTCGGTACCATCTGTGTGTCCGTCGCGTTCCCTCTCGGGTGCCATGCCATTCCTCGGCCAGGACTGGCGGTCCCCCGGGCAGAGCTGGGTGAAGACTGCGGACGGCTGGAAGCGCTTCCTGGATGAAAAGAGCGGCAGCTTCGTGAACGACCTCAGCAGGTGAAGGGACTCGCCACCAACTCCAGCCTGGCGACCCCGACCCGGGCTGCTCTGGGGCTGCAAAGCAGCTGGATAGGGAGCAAAGAAGGTTGGGACAGGGTGGGGAGGGGGCCCTGTTTCGGGAGTGGGGATCAGTTGCCGAGATTGTCTCTGAGCTCGCCAGAGCACCGGAGACATAGAGCTTGGTTTCTCTGATTGTTCAAGGTCGACCTCGCCAAGTGGGCACGTCTCAGAACGGCTCTGAGAATGTGATGACAGTCATGGTGATTGTTCCCAAATGTTCAAACTTAAGCCTATAACTTTAGAGAGTTCCAAACCCAAATTAAGTTCCGGACCTTAGGGACCCCCGAATCGTCTGGGTGGGGGGCACAGTTTGGTGGGGGAGAGAGTGTGCTGTGCGCCTCTCTTGGCCAGGGTAGCGGGGGGAGGGGGAGCACAATCAGAGGATGGGGTGAGACTCCGGGCCCGCCTGGAGTGCCGCCAGGTTCATCCCACGCACAGGCGACCGCTGGGTAGCCAGGATGCTGAGTAACCGGGAAGCGGCGGCTAGGGGACCGGCCAGATGGTCCCTGGAGCAGCGGGGGATGCAGAAATGCGAGGGAGAGAAAGCATCCAGCCCACCCAGAGGGCTCGCTGAAGCCCACAAGTCCTCTGCTTCCGGAAGGACTGAGAGTTTGCACCTGTTTCCTCCGTGGCCCTAGCTCTCCCTTCTTTGTGAGCGCACCCCCATTTCAAGTGGCGCCTTGTCAACAGTGGAAAGCCCACCCACCTGGCTCCGGTGAGCCTCTGTATTCAGGTCTCACCTGAGCTCTCAGTCCTCTGAGTTCAGCTTCCAAAGGTAATAAACGAGTAAAACCTAATAGTATTATGTGATGGGAAATCTGGGGGCCCCAGGCTTCTGAAAGGTTAATACCCAGATTCCCAAAGAGAGAGGTGAAAGTGGGTCACCGAGGATAGATGCTGTGGGGTCACCCTTGGGTGACTTTTCTTGTGGCGTTTGGTTACAACTGCTACCTCTTTTCCTCTTTACCAAAGGTCCTATAAATGAGCCAGGTTCCCAATATTTGAGGCTTTAGCACTGATTGTTTGAATGAATCCTTGGCCCTAAATTTTAAGAGCAGTATCACGAAAATATGGTTATTTTGCCAGCTTGATCCCCAGCCAAAGTTCTTAATCTGTTGTGGTTTGTAATGCAGCAAACTCCCTTTGTCTCCCAGTGAAGGGTCTGTCAGGAGAGACAAAAGCCTCTCCTGATGGTAAAGATACTGTAAAGATACATGTGTTCCCCATGGAGTTTGCGGAATACTATAAAGAAAATCTATTTACGGAAAATCAAATAATTTATTTGCAGAAAGAAAAGGGGAGGGGGGACCAACTTGTGTCACCAGACTACAGCAGAATCTTGAAAGATTCAAATAAGCAATAATGCCAAAATTATTTCTCCTCAAATGGGAAGGGATTACAGTGGTTGCTTCCTCTTCTCACCTCTGTGTTAATTGATGTTCTAGTTATATCTTGGAACTTCTGTTGTTGCTCCTGGTTACTTGCCTTTGAGTCAATTCCCATTCACGGTGACCCCCTGTGTGCAGAGCTGAATTATGTTCAGAAGCAGATCAACAGGCCTGTCTTTCTAGGCACCCCTGGGTAGTCTCAAACTGCCAGCCTTCCAGGAGTGTTGCAGCTCTTAACTGTTGCCATCAGCCAGGGCCTCTTTGGTACTTAATTTCTGTGTAAACCTTGAGATTCATTTAGAGAGGTGCAGCCATGGTTTGCCAAGTTGTAACCTTGTGGTTCAACCAAATATAGTTGCTGGATGCTTCTTGTGTGGACTGTTGGGTTCGGTGGAGATTCTGGTTGGGGTGAATACTGTACTTACAGTGCCCTGGTTGGTTCCGGAGATAAGCTGGTATCATTCTCCTTTAGAAATCAACAGTGGTACCTCTCCCCTCACTATGGGAAACCTGAAGACAGTTTTAACTTAACTTTCCTTCAAAGAGTAGACAAGGCCAGATCAAGAATCTTCATGTCCCTTTGTCTCCAACACTAACCTCCTTTTGACCCTCCCACTCCCTAGGCTAGAACTATTACATGCACTGTCATTATGGCAAATGGTGACCGATGGTGACCACCTGTGCTTATTTGATGACTCAGAGTTGAGAGTCATTTAGTAGCTAACTAGCAAACCAGCTGGCTGTTTGTTTGCATGGGTTTGTTTACTTTAATTTTTTGAGCAATTGTAAACAATCCCTTCCCTACTTAGCATGAGAAGTCAGCCAACTTCTTAAAAGTACTTGGCCTTCTGTGGCCCGGGTTTGTCATCTCAAATATCCCCACTGGTTTTGGCTGGGATGACGTGTTCCTATGATGTCAGGTTTGGGCTGCATGCCTGGTTACACAGGTAATGCTGAACTTTCTTCTGTTGTGAGAAGAAGACAAAAGGCAGGCCCACAGAAGGGGACTATGAAGGCATGGTTGGTGTTGAGTGCTGTCGAGTTGGCTCCAAATCATAGCAACCCTGTACAGGGTTTTTGAGGAGCGGTTGGTGAGTTTGAACCGCTGACCTTGCAGTCCAATGCTTATCCTTCAGCACCACACCAGAACTCTAATTCCTTGTACAGTTCTGTGAGCTGGCCAAACCAGAGCTGCGTTGAAAGGTGCATTCGGTGTCTTTAGGTCTGGGACTAGGATTTATTGTGGACCACAGCTTGTCTGCCTAGCACACCTTTTCTGAAGCCCGTAGTCATTCTCCCGGTGCTCCAGGGCCCTGTCCTCCTTCAACAGCACTGCACCTAAGTGCCCAGAACTGAGAACATAGGAGTCTAGTGTGGTGCTAACCACAAGGCCGATAATTCAAACCTACCAGCCACTCCTTCGGTCACTATGAGTCAGAACTGACTCAATGGCACTTAACAACAATAACAAGATAAGCTTAAAGAAGGGGTCCTTCTCTCAAAACAAAACAAAAACAGTTAAAACTACATAAAAGAGAAAGAGATTTTTTGTGGTGCTCACTGCTGTGGAGTGGTCCCCAACTCATGCTAACCCCATGTGTGTCAGAGTTGACATGACTGATTTTTCAGATCACTAGGTCTTTTTTCAAGGAGTCTCTAGGTGGAGTGGAACTTGCAGCCTTTTGGTTAGCAGCCTATAGCACAGTACCTGTTTGTACCACCCAGGAACTCCAGAAAGGGAAAGTAATCAACATTCAATTTGGTGGGGCAGATTCAACATTCAAGAGAAAGAGCTTAGCATGATACAGGCCAAGAATGCCTCAAGGAAGCAGTGGGTGAACCCCCCTCCCCAGCCGTCCTTACACATGCTCAACCCCACTCCTACCCTACCCCACGATGAGTAATCTCGGCTGTGTGAGCCTCAGCCACACTTCTGCAAGCCTACACGTCTACAGTTGAAAACTCAGTGTTGATTTACTGTCAGGCTAAGGTTGAACCAGGAAAACAAGAAGTTTACTTCAATGCCCTGGATGAGTGATGTATATTAAATTAAAATAATAGTTATGATTTTATTGCATGCTTACTGTATGCAAGGCTTTGTTCGAAGAGCTTGACACACAAGGTTGTTTGGGTCACCAGAGCAATCCTGGGACTAGTCATGTGAGCTTGGCAATCTGGGTGGAAATTAGCACAAACATCTCACTGCCTTTAATTGAATCTGTTTGGGAGTCTTGATCATTGAAAGGTTGGTGGTTCAAGTCTACCTAGAAACTCCAAGGGAAAAAACCCTGGAGTTTTGTTCCCACAGAGGTTACAGTCTAGAAAACTTTATGGGGCAATTCTACTCTGTCCCATGGGGTCACTGTCAGTTGAAATTGACTTGATGGTCCCTAGCAACAACTGCAACCCAATCCCTTTGAGGCAGGTCACGTATTTTGTGAATGACTTATTATGATTGCAAATGAAATGACAAATAGAACTCTTTTCCCCCATCTTCCCCTTTATCGCTACTGTCAAAGTGGTCTTATTTGGAAATCTGTCCACTGTCTCGAGAATGATTTTAAAGTTGCTTGCTGTGTGTACGATGGGGATTATAGGGTGTGGGGAGTTCCTTTTCTTATTCCAGGTCCGGGCCTATAAAAACCAGGGTTAGAAAAGAACTCACTTCAACACAACAGCTTGCTGGTTATTATTGAATTTGTCAAGGAAGCAACTGCTTTTAGATGGTTATGCTTGCTTATTTAAAGAAAATTTAAATGCAGTGGTTTCTAAATGGTGGTAGCTTTTCTTGTTAAAAATTTCCATTGTGATTTTCCATGGGCTTTTGTATCTTCTTGAAATGAATATCACTGAACCCTCAGAAGAGCCTCTAACTGAATATATTAGTGCTTAAAAGAAAACCTAAGCAGGCAATGCAAATAAACCCCTTAACCCTTCATTCCCAGCCACCCTTCGGAGTCCAAAACCTACCACCAAGCTAAACGTGCAGGCCTGGTCTTTGGTGAAAAGTTTTCTATTCTCCAGTAGAAGAGAACATCATCAATTATGTAAAGTTATTCTTAAACTAGCTTTGAAATGAGTCACTCAGGCTTAAAGCAGGTTATTGTCGTCTCCCTGAGAAACACATGTGCTCAAATTCCTTGGAGGAATGTTTTCAATTAGAAAAGAAGACGATGAAATAGAAATATTTTAAATATCCAAGGAATGGCCACAATCTATGATTTCTGAAACTTTTCTGCTTCACCTTAAATGTGTGCATTTTTAGGATTCTCTGGTAGGTGGTAGTTGTATGATGTCGAGTCAGTTCCGACTCACAGTGACCCTGTATAGGGTTTCCGAGACTATAAATCATTATGGGAGCAGAAAACCTCATCTTTCTTCTGTGGAGCAGCTGGTGGACTCGAACTGTTGATCTTGCTGTTAACAACCCAACGTGTAACTCACTATGCCACTGGGGCTCCTTAAGGTTTTCTAGATATGGAATATATACTGTAGGTTTGGGTGGTTTCAGGGTTGTTGTTGTTAAGTGTTGTCGAATCAGTTCTGCCCCATCTCCATCCTGTACAGGGTTTCCAAGGAGTGGCTGATGAGCTTGAACCGCTGACCTTGTGGTTTAAACCAACTTTGCAGTCCAGCACATTAACCCACAGCGCCGTGTGTGCTATTATTGCTGCTGCTTTGAAAATAAGCCTTGGTGTGGTCTTTTAGCATGCAGAATGTTCCAGCTTTCCTTTGAAAGCTGTTCTTGGCTTTGGTACATTATGGTTCAGTCAAGTAACCTTCCATCTTTTTTCCTTCTCCTCCACTTTGATTGAAATTTCTGACATTAGCCTCTGGGACTATGAGTTCTATTCTTCTTTTGTCCTGCTTCTATTTTCCTGTTGACCTTGGAGCAGATAGTGGATTCATCAGTGGTTCTGTGCCATATACTCATGCAAGTAAACAAATACACATTCATGTGTTACACAAAGCCTGACCCCAAACATTCACCTCTGATTTAAGAATGCACAGCTAAGAGAAAGACATTTCTGTGATAATCTAAAAATATCCTCTGTTTCCCTGAATGAAAAAGCTGGTAGGGAGTCCTGTTGTGGTGCTGTAGGATAAGCACTGGACTCGTAACTACAAGGTTGACAGTTCAAACTCACCAACCACTCCTTGGAAACCCTATACAGGCTTACTATGAATTGGAGTCTACTCAATGGAACTTAACAACAACAACAAAAAGCTGTTAGGGGGAATGATGTTGTCGCAGTAAGATAAGCACTGGACTGTGAACCACAAGGTTGGCAATGCGAGAAAGATGAGACTTTCTGCTCCAGTAAAGTCTAACAGCCTCAGAAACCCTATTCAAGGTCGCTATGAGTCTGAACTTAACAACGATGACAAAAGCAGCAGCAGAGCTGTTAGGAAGTACAATCAGTGATAGCACGTATGGCCTTGACTGACTATTGATGCAGCTTCTCCCAATGGGTGCAGAAAAGCAACTGAGTGTATTATTGCTGACAGACTGGGTCAACATTTCAGGAAAATATACTAATTGGCATGCTACTAGGGAGATTATTATAAATAAGAACACTGAAAATCATTCAAACTCTCTTTCCTCTTGTACCACTACACAATGCCTGTGGAATGAAGATATGCAAGCATGCTTAATTTTACCCCACCAAGATGTACATCAAATCATATTTTAAATCCAGCAGGAGAACTCAGGAAATCAATGGACTCTAATATGCTGGTATATAATAACATCAACAACCACAAAGCCTAATATATGTTTTGCTAATTGGCATTCTAAATCCTGCCTTGAACAATCTATCTCATGGGGTTGGGGGAGCAGGGAACCTGTCTTCTGATTATACCTCAGGATTTCTCCTGTGTCCTTTCTCTGGATGCTATTCAGATGTTTACCGTGAAGCTCCAGTAGACTAGAGCTCAGTCAGCCCCTACCCCACGTGATCCGTCACTTCTAGTAAAAGGAAATAAACACCTGACCCCTGCTGAAGTCACCCATCCTTCCTTTGAACTGGACCAGTGCATTCTATGCATTCTATACCTACTGACATAGAATGTCAGTGATGACTTTAGCTTGCTTCAGTCAGGACTTCTCACCTCCCAGCATGGTATCTTGTGTTCAGGAAACTGAAACAACTTTCACTACACACTAACCACCTCTGAGAAAAGGAGTTCACAAGTCAAGCTTTGGTAAATGTGATTGCCTTTTACAGACATGGTGGTGGTGGTGGTGACATGCCGTGGAGTCGGTTCCAACTCATAGTGACCCTGCATAGGGTTTCCGAGGCTGTAAATCTTTACAGGAGCAGAAACCTTCATCTTTCTCCCATGGAATGACTGGTAGTTTCGAACTGCTGACCTTGAGGTTGGCAGTCCCACTCATAACCACTACACTACCAGAGATCCTTTTACAGACATGGTAGGAACGTGTTAGTTAAAAGTAGCTGCTTCTTGTTGTCAAGTGCCATCAAGTGAGTTCTGACTCACAGCGACCCTGTATAGGGTTTCCGAGAAACGGCTGGTCAGCTTAACTGCCGACCGTACGGTTCAAACTGACGTTGCAGTCCAGTGCATTAACCCACAGTGCCACAGAAGTAGCTTGAATTCACTTTAAACGGGTGAATTGGATAATGTGTGAATTATACCTCACCTCAGCTATGACAAAGAAAAGGAAACAAAACTCAAGGGAGAGCAGCTAGGGGTTACTGTGTATTACAGAGGTTCCAGGAATCACCCCTCACCCCGTCTTCATGTGTGCTAAAAGTGACATTGTGGCATGCTGTCTTGCTCCTAAGTTAAAAGAGTGGTGCTGTGTGTGGGGTACAATGGCAGCACTGTTGGGGAATTCAAAAGAAGCTAAAGCCCCCATCTCTGCCTTCTACACAGATGGGATACTATTTCATTCCTAAAAGAGAAGACTCCATGCTTCCTCTGAGTGATTATTTTATTGTTTTGTTTGAGAAGTGTGTTTATGTTTTATAACCCAGTGAGTTCTTTATAGAACCCCCCACCCACTGCCTTGCCCTCAAGTGGATTCTGACGCACAGCGACTCTACAGACCCCTATAGGGCAGAGTAGACCTGCCCCTTCAAGGCTGTAAATCGTTATGGAAGCTTCAGTCCATATCTTTCTCCCTTGGAACAACAGGTAGTCTTGAACTGCTGAGCTTTCAGTTAGTAGCCAAGTGCTTCACCTCTGCTCCACCAAAGATCCTATGTATAGAGACCGTTCCTATGAAAGTACAGCTGGTTTACCCATTGTCTCTTCTCTTCTGTTACTTGTAGTTACTGCGGCAAGGAGGTATATAGTAAGGAGAAACTCGTCAACAGCCTGAACTATGATGTTGCAGCCAAGAAGAGAAAGAAGGACTTACTGAACAGCAAAACCAAAACTCATTGTAAGCCCTTTGTTTTGAACTTAAGAAAGTTGGTTGAAGATAGTTCTGAGTAGTTGTTGGTAGAGGGGAGAATCACACCTTGAATGTTAGTTAAATATCTGCCTTAATGTTTATGGTGGTGTTGGCAGAGGCTGCTGGGATCTTTGCACTCAGAAACCTAGCTGTGCGTTTTTTCCAGGAAGATTTATGTATTCTTTATAGTCTTGTTTATAAATCATTTGCTAGTTGCTTTGTTTTTATGTGGTTTTTTTCCTGCTTGTCACTTGTATTTGACAAGGAATATAGTTCTCTTACAGTATTGTGGTTTGCTGAATCATTTCCACTGTCCGCTTTTATTTTGAGCTGTATTTTGATGCTTCAACAAAAGATTTTGTTCTCCTCTGTCCTTGTCTAAATTTGATTAATATTTCTAGATACTGTGTGTATTAGCAGAGAATAGATCATTCTGCTAAGAAGCATGAATTATAGATCTTTCCGTTCATACATCTCTTCTTGTTATCTGTTTTCTTTCTACTTTATATGGCCTTGTATAAATTTGAGATTCAGCATTTAAAACAAACTCTTCAACCACTTTTTTTAGATGTGTTCATTCAAAGCTTTGGTATATTAAATCTGACTTGCGAAGATTTGGAGGGCCTCAGACACTGTAAATTACAATGCCAGTGTTAACATGCTGCAGACATTAGCCATTTGTATCATGCTAGTTTGTCAGTGGTCTTTGTAATTTTTGTCAAAACTTTAAAAACTTTGGACTAAGTGAAAAAGAAAAAGAAGTGTGTTTAAAATCTTGGACATGTTATAATTTATAAAACTGTTTTTTTTTTTTTTGGTCTGTGTAGATTTCCACCAAGAAAAATGGATCTATGTTCACAAAGGAAGTACTAAAGAGGTAAGCATCCACCAGTCTGTAGAAAACAGTTAGGCTTAACTGATGTGCCCCCTTGGTAAGGTCAGGGGAGTGAAATTGAACAACATTACTTCGAATCATATGCCCCTGACTGTCTTCTTGGGTGTAGGGGTAGCACCCATTTGCCCATTACCTAGCAAGCTCTCAGAATTTGTGGAGAGAGAGAGAAATAAAAGGCACTAGGTGGGCCACACTAATCCTTACGTGAGATTAAGTATATAGAAATGCTCTCCTCAGATCTATTCTTGTAAAGGCCTGGATTTTGCCTCACAACATGCCTCTCTTTTGTTCTAAAATCACTTCAGACTTCAACTTAGACTTTAACCGTGAAAGGACTCATCTGTCAATATAGCAGAAGGTTACAGGTCTGCTCAGTGTGTGGCACTGAGGTAGATGTGGGCGAAGACAACTAACAACTAAGTAAGCACTTCCTAAAACTCTTTTGTAACCCTTTATTGCCTCAGATAACTATGATCTATTGCTGTCAGGGACATTGGGGAGCAGCTAGTTCCTTCTGTGATTCGAAGTCCAGAGTGAGTCAGTGGTATTCACTCACCTGAGGTCACCCAGATTCCCAGAACAGAACTGGCACTCCCAACTTCCTGTGCATTCGTACAGAAAAGGTCCAAACTTCTCTTGCTTCCGCATGAAGCCTCCTGAGTTATGATGATCACCATGAGAAAAGGACCAGAGACACAATGCAAGGTGGTAGGCTATATGTCATTCTCCTCCCCTGAGGATGTTATTATCCCCAGTCAGCTTTAGATCACACATCAAAACTCCAGTTCCCAACCTTTCTTTAGTAAGCAGCTACTTAAGAGTTTTCCAATCGAGTGCATGCAGCGAACCAAGGCTCCAAATGGTACAAGTCATGAGAAGCGGGTGTTTCACTTGTGAGTCACCAGCTAACGCAGCTGCTGGTTACAGTACCCATCTTTGTGGCTCATGGGATTCCCAGAAAGAATCCCCATACCATAGGGAAAGCAAATGACCACAGATCAACTAAGTCAGACATCACACTCTTCAGTAGAATCTAGGTACAATGCATCAGCAGCTGCTAACCGAAAGATTAACAGTTCAGGTTCAGCCAGCAGCTCTGAGGAAGAAAGACCTGCAGTCTGCTTCCATCCTAGAAAGATTACAACCTAGAAACCCAATGGGGCAGTTCTACTCTGTCTCCTGGGGTCGCCACAAGTCGACAGTTAGCACAATATAACAGGTTGTTATGGAGAATGACCACAAGAATGACCCTCTGTTTTCACATTCAGCGCCATGGGTATTGCACTCTGGGAGAAGCCTTCAACAGATTGGATTTCTCAACTGCTATCCTGGACTCCAGGAGATTCAACTACGTGGTGCGAGTAAGTCTCAAGAACAGGAGGCACGTCCGAATTCTCAAGTAGAATTGTCTCTTTGAGCTGTCCAGAAGTAGTTTCCCCAAAAATGATCTTTTTAGGACCTTGATAATTTTGAGGAAAGAAAACACACACACAAAATGGATTCTTCAATGCACACATGCATAATTCATGTGTGGATTCTAGAGCGTGTCCCTGAGATTGGCTCTGCCGCACAGAGACCACCATAATAGCTTTTTCAGTCCCCACTAATGAAAATGTCACTCTTTGCCCCTTTTGATAAGATGTCCTGGTGGCACCATGGTTAAATGCTCATCTGCTAACTGAAAGATTGGCAGTTCAAGCCCATCAGATGCTTTGAGGGAGAAAGATTACAGCCTTGGCGACCCTATGGAATGTTCTGCCATATTCTGTTGGCTCATTGTTAGAGTCGACTCAAGAGTAACGGTTTTTCTTGAGGGGAGGGGGGAGATTTTCCCCAGGCTCCTTTTGGAACCAGCCCCATGAATAAATAGGAACATGTTGCAGGCAACACTAGCAACATTAATAAGATAGCAGTCAGCAAGCCATAAAGCACTTGGGCTAGTTTTAGAAAGCCTTTTGCACCTTGGATTAATTTCACTGTACTTACTCCCCCTTGTCAGGTTTTAGCTGACTCTGGGTTGACCCCAAGTCGTTCTTGGTTGAGGCTACAAAACTGCCTCAGCCCACCCTCACCCTTTCTTCCCCCATGTTTACCTAAAGTTTGAACTACCTCACTGAGTCAGCTGCTTCTCATTGTAAACTGTATTTTAAAAACCATGTTTAAAGATTTTTAAATGAGCTTTCACAAAATATTAATGAAGGTAGTAAAACCAATCATTTTCAGCCTGACTTTCCAGTTGGTGATATTTTTTTAATTGGTTGATTATTGTTGTTTTTCCCCTAAGCTGCCTTGTGTGTGTTTTTTTGTCAGTGGTCCAGCCTGGGAGGCAGCTGTTGGGGTTTGAGGTTTTGAAGTCGAAGGGAATTTTCTCCCTGTGGGTGCTGATTGGTTGGGTTTTTATTTTCCTTTTCCTGGGTGATTGTGCTTCTGAGCACTTTGTCATCAAGTCAGATGATCCCGGAGGCTAAGCCAGAGCGATGACATTCAAACCCCCTTGTGGCCAGGATCACTCACCTGTCATCTGGGTAGATGCAGTGTGCCTAGTGAACTGACCTGGTAAAACCCAGGCCTCTTGTCAGTTACAAGCTGAGCATGTAAATGCAGTAGCAGTTCTGTTTGCACTTCAGCTGAATCCCGGTTCCAGCAAGACTTTCTTGGGCAAATGTGTTGCTTAGTATGTCTATCATTTCAGAGAACTCTGGTGTGGTGCTGTAGGATAAGCACTATACTGGTTACTGAAGGGTCAACAGTTCAAACACACCAGCCGTTCTCAGAAACTCTATGCAGGATCAGAATGAGTAGGAACCAACCAGACAGGACACTATACCACTATAGAAACCCTGATAGCACAGTGGTTAAGTGCTCAACTATTCACGGAAAGGCTGGTAGTTCAAACTTACCCCTTGGCTCCATGGGAGAAAGCCCTAGCGATCTGCTTGCATAAAGATTGTAGCCTAGAAAACCATACACGGTAACTGTGTTCTGTCATACGGGGTCTCAATGAGTTAGAATTGACTCAGTGAAATTCATCACCAGCTGCCACTACAGGGAGGTCAACAATGCCCACATCTCAGTACAGACTGGTTTGGAACAGCCCCAATTGGACTGCTAACCTCAAGGTCTGTAGTTCAAACCCACCAGCTGCTGATTGGGAGAGAGACAAGGCTGCCCGCTCCTGTAAAGAGTTACAATCTTAAAGACCTTGTATAGGTTGCTGTCAGTTGGAATCAACTAGGTGTCAATGAGTATTTGGGTTTGGTGACTAAGAATATGAATAGTTCCCACCTGCTAGGAATCTAGGTGTTAGATGAAGATGCCTAGATCTGTTGTCTTTCTTGGAAACAAGTCATCAAAATGGTCTGTGTTTGAATGGTTCTCTTTTCTACCTATTCTTTCTTTCACAATAAATCAAATAATGCAAAGGAACAACGATCAAAAATCTATATTTCATGCATCTATATATATGCATTATCTCATTTTAATCTTTTCAATAACCTATAAAGTATATATAGGGACTTTTATGATCTTCGTTTAAAGAAACAGAGGCTCAATGAGGTAAAATGACTTGTCCAAGTTCACAAAGCTACATAAGTGAAGACATTGAGATTTGAAATTAGGAGGGCCTCAGAGTTCACACTTTTATTGACTACAAGAAGTTCTATGTACACAGATTTGTAGTAAAATGGCCTGAGGTCAGACGCCAGCTCCACCTCTTTCAGGCAGTTTTCAGCCTCTCTAACACAGTTTCCCACTCTGTAGGAAACTCTTAACTCAGCTTTGTAGGTTAGCTGTGAAACACAGCAATCTATGCAGAAGCGTTCTGCAGGCTAGAATCTATGATGCAAAGGAAGCTACTAATGTTTGTTATTACCCACTCATCCTAATTTTTCAGGAGAAAGATGTAGCAGTCTGCTCCCATAAAAATGATAGCCTTGGAAATTCTGTAGGACATTGCAGCTCTGCCCTATGGAGTCACATTGTTGGAATCCACTCAACAGCACACAGCAACAATAATGATCATTGCTGAGTCCCCACAAAATGATGTGCCTTTTTTATTTAATTGATTAAAAGAAATGTTTTCTTCTTTAACAAAATAGTAATTAGCTAGGGACTCTTGCACTTGATTGAGACTCAGCCCAAAAACACTTATGCCTGATAGGATCTCATTGTAAAGTACAGTTTGAGCACGTTCTCTTCAATAATCTTCAAATTAGAAAAACTGCCAAGTGTTTTCAAAGTCATTAGGTCCAGAAGTAGCAGATTCTTATTTTGGAAAGGACCACCTTTTCCCCCTTTTACCGTTAGGGTCCTCTGTCGTTTGAGAAAGAATACGTTATTTTTACAAAGAGCTTAAGACATTTTAACAATAGGCACCAAGTCTTGAGGCTTTTCCTTCTAAGGAACTCAATACACTTCTCATGTATTCTTCTGATCTTAAATCAACGCTACAAAGTGGTTTACCAGCATGTTACCCCTCTTTTACTACTTGGACCTAATGGTGTTGTAATACTACCATGACTCTTTAGTTCCAGTAAGGAATCTTTTTTTTTTTTTTTT